GAATCAATTAATAGATAATCTACTCCCAATAAGATTGACACTACAAAACGTGATGTAATCAATAAAGTCTTTATTAATTCACCAAAAATCACACCATTAAAAAATTAATTTCAGGACTTGTAAGTATTGTATTTCTCCACTGTCCAAATGTAAAGGTTTAAATACGATTAGAGTAAGAAATTAAACGTTAAACTAGAAGTTACCTCAAGTACTAATGAATCTGTTACAAGAATATATGATAACAGTTCTCGGGATTTCAATTGTCGTAAATTTATGACAAGTTATTAAAACTCTAATGTTTTACAAAAGATTTATGATTATAAGATATGATAGTGATCTCTTTTAAGTAAATTGAGTATAAACTTTTATTTGAATTATTTTAACAAGCAACTATAAATGTTGATACCAGACCAGAAAATAACGAAACACTACTTCAATAATAAGATCCAAAATATTATGAAATATTATTTCTGTCTATTTAGCTTAATAGCATTATTTATGTCCAATTCAAATGTGGTTATCACTTAAATTTCATTTCAAAATGAATTTTATAAATTGTATGTTAGGTACAAAATAATTTAGTAAAGTGCAAAGAATTGAAACTCAGCCTGTAGCTCTTCTAGGTTTACTGCCGATCCCAAGACCGGGTAAAGTAAGAAATTCAGGCATGGGGTCAGCAACCCCGCCCCGTAGTAAACAACATTCCTAAAGAGCGAACCACTTAAACTCTCTTCTGGCAGCTCAGGAATCTTCATTTAGAAGAATTATGACGCCTTATGGTGAAAGCCGATATTCTTCAGAAGTCACGACGCCGATGCCCCTTCTAAAAATCAGAGCAAAAACTAACATAGGTTCATGGAATGTCCTGCACAATATTTCCCGACAACAGCTTACACAAAGCTACGTCGGTCTAACTGGATAACATTACACAGAACAAGATCGCATTAGGAAATGCTGGACCTCAAAAAGCATCAAGATCATAAGAAATGGATCTCCATTGAAACCCTGCACAAAATTCAAGAAATGATGAATAAGAAGATTGCAATTAACAACAGACGAACAAGAATGGAGAAAGTCAAGGCATAGCTCAAATACACAGAAACAAACAAGCAAGTGAAGAGGAGCGTGAGAGCTGAAAAACAGTAGTACGTCAAAGACATATTATTGACAGTGGAAAAATCTGTAACAAAAGGAAATATAGAACAAATATACGACACAACGAAGAAACTGGTAGGGAAATATAGTAAACCAGGGAGACCAGTCAGTGACAAAGAAGACAAGACATTCACTGAAACTCAATAACAGAATAATATGAGTAGAACACTGAGAAACTCTTAAACAGGTTAGCTCCACTGAATCCAACGTACATTGAAGTAGCACACGTAGACCATCTTATGGACGTCACTCCACCGACGATCAAAGAAATCTGCATGGTCATCAAACAAATCAAGAGTGAGAACGCAGAAGCGCCTGGCGACATACTAACCGAAGCATTAAAGTCAGACATAGAGGTAACTGCAAACATGCTGAGCAATCTATTCAGGAAGATTCGGAGGAAGAACAAGGGTCAGTGGATTGAAGAGAAGGATACTTGATCAAGATACCAAAGAAAGGAGATCTGAGCAAATGTGAGAACTACAGAGGCATCACACTACCATCGGTACCTGGAAGAGTTTTCACTAGTGGTTCTAAACTGGATAAAATATTCAGTAGACGCCCAACTTCAAGATCAACAGACCATATTCCGTAAAGATCCGTCGTGCACAGACCGAATTGCCGCACTATAGATGAGCAATAGTTTGGGTGGAATTCGTTACTTTTCACCAACTTCCTTGACTATGAGCAGGCGTTTGACAACATACATAGGTAAATATTATGGGAACTTCTTAGACAATATGGTGTATCTGAGAAGATCGTCAACATCACATGGAATTCATAAGACGGATTACATTGAAATATCACGTATAGAGGACAGTTGACAGACACATTCCAACTAAGGACCGGAGTTAAACAAGTCTGCTTACTCTCACCCTTTCTCTTTATTCCAGTGGTTGACTGGATTATGAAGACCTCCACATCTGAGTGGAAGCATGGAGTACAATGGACAACTTGGATGCCACTAGACGATTTTGAATTCACAGGTCACCTAGCCCTCCTATCCAATACACACGATTCAACGCATGTCAAAACGACCAGTGTAGTAGAAGCCTCTGCATCATTAGGCCTCAGCACACACAAGGAATAAAGCTAGATCCTCAAGTACAACATGAAGAACACCAACCTTGTCACATTTGATGGAGAATTCCTGGAAGAGTTGGAAACGTCCACGCACTGGAACGGCATCATCAATGAACAAGGAGGACCCAATGTAAACGTAAATGTAAGAATTGGAAAAGCAAGGATAGCATTTTTACAACTGAATAACATGTGGAACTCGAAACAACTGTCAGTCAGCATCAATATCAGAATCTTCAATGTGAGCGTCGAGACAGTTCTACGGTACAGAGCTAACAAAGAGTTAATCAATATTTATAAGCACACAAAAATAAATTACAGACATGTGATGAGTAACGGGATAAGAAGTTTACATACGCTTACGCACTCATACAAAGACAGTCAAGATATTGATAAGTAAATAATTAACAAGGTCAGAATGTGACTCAAATAGAATGAATAGAATGGGCTGTTCGAAAGTTAGAATAATAAGGTATTTGGGATTAACATAATGACAGACACCACAGTATTTATAAGCAATTGTCTACGCAAGATACTCAATGTTAGTTGACCACATAACATCAGAAACAGACTACTGTGGGGGAGAACAACCCAGATGCCATCTGAAGAGAAGATTATGAAAAGACGTTGAAAGTGGATAGGGCATACATTACGGAAATCAACAATCACTCGCTAACCTGGAATCCTGAAAGGAAAACAGGAAGGCCAGAGAAAACACTGCGTCGAGAATAGAAAGCAGACATGAAAAGGATGAATGGAAAGTTGAAAGGAGTGTATAGGACACAATTGGATGGAGAATGCTGGTCAGTAGCCTATGTTTCTCCACGAGGCGTAACACGCATAGCTATTGGGCGATGAATCGAGTGTCACTTTAATCTTTGACTAAGTTTCTACACGTTCGTTTCATACGATTTTCATGAATCACATTTCCGATGCCTAATTTCATGTATTACCACTTATACTGTTACTGCCTCTACTACTTCAGGATTTTTCCTAACAATTTTATTTCGTTTGACTAATCGGTCATGGTAACTTGAACCGATGTACACAAATACCATGTTCTACTTTATGTTTAGCCAAGTGACTGACATTACATGATCCAAAATTACAATTAAATGTTTTCTACAGATTTACAAACAACTGCAAGAACAGTAGATAAAATTAAACTTATATTATGGAAATAAACCACACTGCTCCTCCTCCTCCTACTAGCTCTAACCAGTTCAACTTGATTGGATATAAATTTGTAATAATATGCAAAAGTATCGATTAGCACAAATAATCTTTAAAAGTGTAAGGAATTTATTCTGGCATTTTGGCTACAAATTATTTAATTGTTTATTGCAGAAATCCTACACATCAAATTAAAACTATTTACTAAAATATCCCTGTAGAAATTCTGACGAAAGTTCATTAACTTTCTAAAAAAATATAAACATTTCATACACCATATCTGGACAAATTTTCAATGCTGAATTGGATGAGGACTGTTTTTCTAGGAGGAGAAAACGTTGTCAACAATCAAGTTGATGTAATACTTTAGTTGTCCTACTGAGTTTAAATATACTATAGAATTATATCATAAACTAATACTGTCATTAGTACCATTCTTACCGGTTGTCTGTTTAGGATGATATTGTCAGATAAACGAAACTACTTACTGGTAGTTATTATGTTGTTAAAAGATAGTTAATAAAGCATCTTAATCACTTTTTGGCTTTTGAGTTCACAAGTATTCATGCAAACTAAATAAAGAGTTTAGTCGAGTAACTTTGATAGGCCTATTTAAAAATCAATGAAAACAACTATTGAAAATCAGAAAGCAGTGGACTAAAATGATTATTATTACTAATCACGTGCTCACTACGGATTAATATCAAGGGACTATTCCAAAAATTATAGTAAGAACCCGTAAACAGTGGAGCTCAGTCATGTTGAATGTGAGGAACTTACCCGTCGAAGACAATGGCAAAAGGTTGAGTAATATCTTGAAATGACTGAAGTTAGATATGCACGCCTTTGGTCAGGACTCAGCTGCATAAAGTTTAAGTGCTTGCCTTGAAACCTAAAGGTCCCGGGTTTGGTCGCTTTTAGTGAGTTGCTGTATATCTACTGCTGAAGAGTCGCATACTAGAGAGAAACGGTTGTTCACTGCCTTGTGACTTTCAATGGTAGTCTAACTAAGAATTATCCATGATGCAAACTTCATAGATTCAACAACCTACACAAACCCTTATACGACCACATCCTTAATAGAAACACAAATGAAAATATGTAGTCCATTTTTCACTCAGTCATAGCATGAAAAATGAAATTTTCCCAGTTAGACGTCTTTAAAAATTCGTTCCTTCTGTATTTGCCAAATTTCCAAATGGGAATTTTCACTATATTTAAAAGGTTAGTTTGTTTTAATATTTTAAATTATAACTTTAACAAAGACACATCTTTAGAGAGTACATTATATATAATTATGATAGACATAATATCAGTTACCACATTCTGTATACAAATGAGATTTTTATAAAATGTGGAAGGATTAGAAACTCTACACAGACGTAGCTTAAATTCATCTATAAAACTATTTCAGAAATAACCTTAATCAAAGTATACTTCAATGAAATATCATTATTGATGGCTTTACTCAGTATTATATTTTTGGTACAGTATAGTGTTCTCAGCACAAAGTATTTCAACAAGTTTCCTTTTCTTATTTCTTCACTGATTCTGGCGGTAAATATTGACTGATCGTCAATTAGATATTATCAGCTCAGGAATCGACATTTGAATAATGTATAATATTTTCGATGCATATTACCAACAACCACAATGTCTCTGATTAGACTTTTTTGTAAGTTGTACAGTGAAATGTCATAAGGATGTATTAAAACAAACAAGAAAACAGAAAAAATTTGTTGAAATATCCAGATGTCAGGAACAGCTAACCCAGATATTCAAACAAATCGCCTTGATACTTCATTCATCAGAAGTCATAATAAAATTTAATGAAAAAGATTATATTTTTTTAGCAAATTATACCGAAAATCTCACAATTATTAAATCAATACTCAATTTATTTAATCTGCTTTCAAAGTTAATTTCATTTAGTTGATTAAACAAAATTGAAATAATGAATTGGCAACACATCTTCATTAAATTATTTTATTATTAATGTATCTATGACTTTAGTTAATAATCAATGAAAAAAAACTACTTTAGATCATTAAATTTTATTAAATTAATAAACAAAAATTTAGTTAATATGAAGAAATGATAAAAAACAATCGAATAATTTTTATCCGCTATAAACAGTCATATATTTTTTTCATGACCAGAAATGTAATATATGAATCAAAATTATTCAACGGGATAAATTTTATTGATCATTTTGCTGTAAAATAAAACGTTTTAAAATGACGTTTACAAATTAAATTCAATGATAGTACTACACTGATTTGTATAATTTTAAATTATTTTGATTGATGATTAAAATCGTTTTACCTAAAAGAAAAAAGAAATAAAAGAGAAATATAGAAGTAATTAATATTGTTTAAAGCAAATAATTTTTAATAGTTGAATTCATGAGTCAATTGAAGCTAGACTATCATGAAAAACCTGGAAGCACTGGACGGCCGTTTCGTCCTAGTATGGGACTCCTCAACAATGCACATCCGTTATCCCGCACCGCAAGACTCGAACCCAGGACCTATCAGTCTTGCGTGCAAGCGCTTAACCTCTAGACCACTGAGCCAGCCGGAATTCAACGGTGTTAATGTCTAACTTCGGGACCATGGATGCGCATTGCTGAGAAGTCCCATACTAGGACGGAACGGCCATCCAGTGCTTCCAGGTTTTCCATGATGATCTAGCTCCAATTGACTTATGAATTTAACTATTAAAAGTTACCATAATATCCACAAAACCCCTCTCTGAAAATATTAAATAAACTATTAAATTATTCAAATTAGTTGTAATCATAAGATTATCATCATAAACAGAGCATAGAGGTGATCTTGTAAACATTTATATTTCATTTAAAAGCTCTACCTTATTTAAGCTATTAATTAATGATGTGAAAATTGGATTACTCTGAAATTATGGAAAAAGATGTATATATATATATATATATATATATATATATATATATATATATATAATTTTATCAATGAAACAATTCGCCTATTGAATGTATATACTTTGTGATTAATTAAAAATGTTTCCATTGGGTACATATGGAAAATCTATGCAAAAAACACTTAAGTGAACTGAACATAATCATATATAGATATAAGTAGTGATAACATTTAAGATGAAATTTCCTTAAGTATTTAAATAAATTTATCACAAAACATATATACAGATTAAATTAAATTCAGCTATGTTATATTCAATTACATTTCAATGTTTGATTGAGAATTGTATTCAATAGACAATACAATATTGTAATTTGTATTGTGTTTGTTACTTCCTTGATCTGTCTACCCACTTTTGGTGCTGAGGATACTTATCTAATCCAGATCAAGACCTTGACGCGAGAGACTGACCGGCTTAACCTGGAGGCTAGTATGCGTGAGTTCGAAGAGGAGTGGAGAGAAGAAAACAATTTTGTCACCTGATTGGCTGACAAGCACGCGAGTGAGAGAAGACAAGACAACTGGAATACTACTCGATCTATTCCCGATTTCCCGATTTCAGATTAGTGCAAAAAAGTACATGAATAAATAGATGAATAACCCGACCACAACGTACAAAAATTAGGAAAAATACAATTATTTCCAAAGCTGGGAATTTAAGTAGAAAATAGAGTACAAAATAATATGTTTAAATTACAATAGCTTCAGAACAAAAAAGGGTATGGTAATAAATCATACATCAAACGAAAGCTTATGTTCTGTAGGATAGATTAGGGAGAAAAATAAATGTTAGTGTTTTACAAACTTTGAATAAAATCAAATGACTTCCCGAAAAATAGCTTTCATAGTTTGTCAGGGCTTCTTGTTTCCACGTTCACATCAGTGTTATTAATATGTATATTTCATTGATTAAGATCATGAGTCAGTTGAAGCTAGACCACCATGGAAAACCTGGAAGCACTGGACGGCCGCTTACGTCCTATTATGGGACTCCTCAGCAGTGCGTATCCACGACCTCGCCCCCTGCGGGATTCGAACCCAGGACCTACTGGTTTCGCGCGCGAGCACTTAACCACTAGAATGGCCGTCCAGTGCTTCCAGGTTTTCCATGGTGGTCTAGCTTCAACTGACTCATGATCTTAATCAATGAAATTACTACAATCTCCACAAAACCCCTTCTGATAATAATCAACATATGCTCACTAGTGAATGGCTTCAAGAGGTATATCCTGGAGTTCTAGTGAGAAGTAGTGACCAGTGGAGTTCAACCAGGTTTGTTGTGGGATAGTAACTCACTGAAGACAATGGTGGATGTGTTGCTCAATTTCGTGGATTAGTTGAAGTTAGACATTAACACCGTTGGATGCTGGCTCAGTGGTCTAGTGGTTAAGTGCTCGCGCGCGAAACCAGTAGGTCCTGGGTTCGAATCCCGCAGTGGGCGAGGTCGTGGATGCGCACTGCTGAGGAGTCCCATAATAGGATGAAACGGCCGTCCAGTGCTTCCAGGTTTCCCGTGGTGGTCTAGCTTCAACTGACTCATGATCTTAATCATTGGAATTACTACAACCTCCACAAAACCCCTTCTGATAATATGTATATCTCTTATTCAAATTGTAATAATATTAAAACGAATTTTGTACTTTATATTTTACATCTTATAAGTGTATAGGTATAAGTCATATAAAATAACCAAATGATTAATAGATTACTTACAAACGAATTTTGCTGATTTAGCAAATATATGAATAGACTAAATGAAATTATAGTGAAAAATTTTATTCTTCATATATAATGATCTAAGTTTTCGATAACCATGTAATTTTGTATTCTATTGTTCAATTATAAGTAAATAACAACAAAAATATAATGAAATTAGCTATTGAAGTAACCATATTTAATAAGAAAAAGAGAATTCAGTGAAGAAAATTTTCTTTTCGACGAAATCATTTACTTAAGCCGTACATTCGTATATATAGTTATTTGGAAAATGTATGTCTATCGGAGGATAGAAAGGATTCCAGAATAATTAACAAATGAGGTTAACGTACTAATCAAGGGGTAAGGAAGAACAAAATTTATGGGTCAGATAATAGTCCAATTGATAGATATGAAGAAAAGCGACAAACAACAAAGGTCATAATAATAAACTGAATAATCAAGAAAACTTGTATATGGTAATAATAATAATAACTGATTAGAGTTTAAAATGTAATATAGTAATTTAAAAAATATATATATCGATAATAATTGGATAAAAGTACAGAAAAAAAAAAGACACCACCACAGAAACATACCCGTTAAGGGAATGAGGGCCAAGGAAGAATGACAGGTTGGACAAACCGTTTCTGCACGCAAAGTTCAGGCTTGAGTTTGTGGATTGCCAATGCCTCAGCAGCGCATAAAATATTGATTCGAACCCCCTTCAATCCAGTTCCTTTTACTCTGTAGACTACTTTAAATGAAGAGTCCTTTGGAGCTATGTGTCCACAATTAATTAAGTGCTTTTGTATCGAACTAGTAATTGTTTTACGTTCTCCTTTTAAGAGCCAGGCCGGATAATGTTCCGAGATGCGTTTAGACAATGAACGCTTTGTGCGGCCTATGTAACGTGCTCCACATGAGCAAGTAAATTTATATATGCACATTGATGTGGCCCAAAACGGAAGTTTGTCTCTAACACATCCCAAAATCGTAGGTCGGCTAGAGAAAATGATTCGGAGCTTAGCTGCGTAGAATGTTTTATTCAACGATTTCGAAATCCGTTTATTCAGGATTTCAGCAGCCGTGTCTCCCTTAAATTCCATATTCATAAATAGAGTTTTCTTCTCTACTGTCGATGCTTTGTCATGAAGTTTAGGTGCCAGGTTGCTATCAACGAATCTCGGTGGATAACCATTTTTGATGAGGGTCTGTCGAAGATGAAACAGTTCCCCTTCTGTTGTGCCGTTGGAACAAATCTGCTTGATCCTCGAGGATAAAGAGTGAATTAAGTTCCTCTCTCTACTTAGTGGCACCCAACTATGGAAGTTCGTGTATTGTCCATTCCAAGTAGGTTTTCTATATATAGATCTCTGTAAAAAACCATCAGGCATTCTTTTTAAACGGACATCAAGAAAATGAAATTCATGATTTGCTTCTGCTTCTAAAGTAAATTGAATTGATGGGTGACAATTATTAAAAATATTCAAGATTTCATTGAGGTCCATGTCTTCTTCACAAATAATGAAAGTATCATCCATATATCTCTTATATAAATGAAATCTCTCAATTATTGGTCGAAGTACCGAATTTTCTAGATTAGCCATGAAACAAACTGCCAAGAGAGGACCCAATGGAGAGCCCATTGCGACTCTATAGAAAACATCATTAAATCTAAATTGCACGTTGAGGGTACATCGTAGAAGTAGTTCTTTAAGATAATGTTTTGGGATACACATATCAAGATTATTGTTTTCAATATAGTCACATAAAAAACAAATTGTTTCTGTGAGAGGAACATTTGTAAACAGAGAAGTGACATCTAATAAGAACATTTTCTTACCGGTTACGTTGATATTTCTAATTGAGTCGACAAATTCAAAGGAATCAAGAGAATTGTATTTATTGATATGATTTTTAACAGGTTGTAAAATGTCAACTAACCATTTAGCGATCAAGTGATAAGGAGAGTTGTTCATATCAAGTATAGGACGTAGTGGGAAATTATTCTTATGAACTTTTGGGAGCCCATATAGTCTCGGTATAACGGAACCCGATGGTTTGAAGTGTGCATAGAGGTCACAATTGATAATAGACTCATCTTTCATTTTCTTTAAGATTTTAATTAGCATCTGTTCAGTTTTTTCAGTTGTGTCTTTTTGAACGGTCTCTATGGAGAATTTGACCGGATCAGATAAAATCGAAGATATTTTGGAAATATAATCAAGGCGATCCATAAGGACAATTCCTGCACCCTTGTCTGGGCGACATAACACTATGTCCTGATTTCTCCGAAGATCCTTTGTTGTTTGTCGCTTTTCTTCATATCTATCAATTGGACTATTATCTGACCCATAAATTTTGTTCTTCCTTACCCCTTGATTAGTACGTTAACCTCATTTGTTATTTATTCTGGAATCCATTTTTTGATACAATCCTTTCTATCCTCCAATAGACATAAATTTTCCATATAACTATATATACGAATGTACGGCTTAAGTAAATGATTTCGTCGAAAAGAAAATTTTCTTCACTGAATTCTCTTTTTCTTATTCAATGACACTATGGGTTATTTTAAGTATCCATATTTATAAGAAATCTCAGTTTAAATTTAATGGATTCAATAATATTTGAAACAAATTGAAATTAAATTTTGTGATTACCAAGAAAAACAACAAGAGAATGGAAAATCAAGGTGTGACATTATAGTTCATTCAGTATTGATCAGTATGTAATACTGATTATCTGAATGATAATTTTACAGCATGACATTTTTATAAAAAAAGAACAACTTCGAAACGAGAAAAAAATTAAATAGAAAGACGAACTAAATGAAGGCGTATTTAAAATACATATAATATCTAGTGTCGTTTTGGTATTATTTTAGTTTAAGAACTAATACTGTTTTCAATATATTGTAAAAACAAATAGACTGATGTTAAACATTAAAATCTGTCAAGACAAAAACATTAATAATTGACCAAATCTGATATTTGGGCGACAATAAAACTATCCAATCTGGGATAAAATGAATGTTTTACTCAATCTAATGGGATTTATATACATCTAATTGTATAGTAATATATCATCGAGGTTCCAATATCTTAACCTAGATTAAGATATGTAGACATAATACGAATTTAGTACTATCTCATTGCATAATTAAGCATATACCTATAAGAACCATTCTTGAACACTCGACAAGAGAAATGTATGCTTAATACAACCAACATAAAAATTAATGCTTTATTTACTCACATCAATAATGTAAATTCTACTGAAGTATATAAAAAATTATTTTGACTCAGATGATGTTGATTTAGACGTAGTTATACTTAATCTACCCAAGATGTTGGTACGATATTTATTTTTTGATGAAACGTCCGTACACAATGGTCTAACTTTGAGATCAGGCGGTAAGAAGTCTATTGTCGTAGTCACTGACGTCACCACTGAACTATTCGCATAACGAGTGACTTGCTATCTGACTCGGATACTTAAACTTCCTAATCTCTTTAGAGTAACCAGTTTCATGTCTTTCTATCGATTAAGATTTTGATATAATCATCAGTCTAATCGATTCACCTAAAAATCCCAGATATTTCTTGCTGATAAATGAGAATTAATGCAAAGAAAACGTCCAGAACTTACTACCCATTCCCTCTCAACATCTAAAGTCCAAATATAGTGAACATAATTCTAAGTCGCCTACTCTAGTCACTATATTTTTACGTAATTGATGGAATTTGATCAACATACAGAATATGGCAAACGTCACGACGATTATTACTCGATGAGCAATAACCATTTTTGTATAGCACAAGGTTTTATTTTAAGAAAATGGCTTAATGGGTAAAATAGTTTCACTTACAGCAATGTGTATATTGTAGATTTATAACTGTTAGTGAGAAAATAACCATCAGATAGTTTAAAAATGTTTGTGATGCAATTAATTAAATTACTAAATCATAAATATGCATTATCTTGAAAATTCTTACGAACCTCTAACCAATGTCTACCTCTAAGCTGTTGTTTTATTAAAAATTTGGAAGTTTCGTTTACTATTCAAGCTAATAATTTAATTCTATCATTGTTAAACAAAAAAGTTTAAGATACGCATTCGCACAAGCAAGTATAATTTCAAAACCTAACGATTTTTATTAGTTTTGTCAACAAACTAATGGCATATAAATTTAGTTCTAAGTAATAGTAGAAAAACGGTATAAATTTCTAGTTTTCTGTCATATGAAAAGTATTAAAATAATTTATTGAAACTAGACTTTATTTCTGAATTGCTGATCTTCGAAGTAAAAATTTTCACACTAAAATACAAAGTATTTACGAACACGTTATGCAAACATCCAACTGACCAAGTAATATTAACTCGTGCAAAAACTATAGACAAATACTTTTAATGAAAAGAACTTAAAGCTACTTCCATGTAGGGTAACAAATTACGCAATATCCCAGTAAACATTTCAGTTCATTACAAGTTTCTTATAAAACAACACCTAGAAAGTCCTTAATTTACACACTAAAATCTTTAGACTTTTTTTTGTGAGTTTTTTATTTAGTGGAAATATAAAAATAATGCAAATAATCAATTGGTATTAAGTACACAATAAATTATCAACTAAACAGATAAAATACGGTCTTCATTCAGTCATATTATATTAATCTAGTTAACAAAAGTTGAATAAGTAATTATAGACTCATTAAAAGCGACAAAATCTGATTAACTTTGATAATATATCTCTAGAAATCTCAATTTCTTCTTGTTTCTTCTCGGAGGGATTGAGGAATAAGAATAAACTGTTTTACAGGCTCCGTAAGTGGCCTTTTGCATTAACGAATATGTGTATGTATGAAATATTGCAACCCTAATGCGACTTCGCATTACTACCTGACCCTCAATTTCGTCTAGTCTACAGCTCATAGCTGTACACAAGAATTTCGAAACATTCATCTTGAAGCTTTTCAGTGGCCACTAATGCTTAATGATTGTCAATAGTTGATCAACTGACCAGAATTTATGATAACAACTATCTTCAAAATGTACAAAAATTTCCACAAAACTGCCTTTCGTAATGTATACATATATGTATATATTTTGCATAGTCTTAATATAAAATATAATGTAACTTTTAGCTTTTAGTCTTTTGACATAAAAATATTTGTGGGATTAAAGGTACTTTAACTGACCGGCATAAGTGTTGAATGTTTACATTGAGCTTTGAAAACTGATTCAATATAAACTGGATTAAATCCTTTTGTTTCCGGTAAATATAAAGCAATTAGAATAATCACAGTTATGAGCACACAAATAAATGGTACAAAGGCAAAACAATCTATAAGCGCCTGAAAAATAAAAAAAAATTTTCACATGTTAATTATTGAAATAGAAAATATCTTATATTGCAATATTATTAAGACTGTTTTATCCGATTTCAGGTATAATTTTCCCGTTATTATTGCAGAGAATATTGTACATTAATATACAGAAGACATAATTATGTGTAACTTATTTTCAGTTTCAAATAAAACTTTGGAAGTAGATAAATAACTTTTCGAAACCTCGAAAACGTACATTCATTCTGTGAGGATGTGATGACTAAATCTTGAGTCTTTAGTAGTAAAGAAGAATAATAGCTTAGTGACCTTGTGTCAGTAAATGTCACATTTAAGCCCAGAATCTTATTCATTATAATGTTTTTTTAATTATGTTGCTTCAACTTTCATTGTATCTAAAAACAATACACATTTAACAGACAATGAAGAAATGATGTTAAAGTAGACAATTGGCAACCGTTTTTTGATTACTGAAGACATATAAGCTCTTATTTTCACTTACAATTAAGATAAGGAAAATAAATTATCATCCTTCTGAATTGTAACTGAAATAAAAGAACCTTCACGGTTTGTAAAGATCCTATCTGCATATCTAAAGTCCTCAAAACTGGCAGAAAATAAAGGTCAGAGAGTTTGTCATAAAAATTATTCATAGAATGAGTTTGAATTACTCTTTAACATTGACTATGCGATATCAGATAAAAGTGAATACAAATATAAATAATTCATGTAGAAAATCATTCTTCTCAGAGGGATATCAAAAGTGAATATACCAAATAAAGGTATTTGTCTATTATCATAGAAGGTAACAAAATTTTTCGCAAGTCAAAGTAAAGCAAAACTTTAACTGTAAATCTCATAAAGTTACTAAACTATATTATGATGTGACTGATAAAGAGTTTGAAGAACATGAGAAAGAGAAATGTGAATAGTTTATAGCTGAGCGCACCTTGTATTTTGCTTTACTTCGAGTTTTAACAGAGGTTAAAGATTATTTGTATTACACTCATTCAATTTCATTCTCCAATAACAACACATTTTCCATATCTCAATAGACAAACAAAATAAGATCAAATCCAATAAACATGAAACAACTTCATTGAAATAAATTTATAGAATAGAATTGGTTTATATAACTTAATATTTAGTACATAATACTGGAAAATGTATACACAACTGATAAGTTTAAGCACAGTTATTAATGAATGCAACTTCACAATAAAAATTTGATGCAATAAAATGAACCGATAACTGATTAAAATGAAACCTAAATTCATTTTCAAATAAAAATTAATATCATTTTACTGGAAATTTATTGAGTATGAGATTATTTGATAACACAAATATTTTGTGTATACAAACATGAAAATTAGCAGTAGTTTTCAAGTGAAACATAGATGAATCATTTATTTTAATTTATGAAACATTAATTCGTTAGTAGACTCGGGGAAAATTTTCACTAAATGCATGAAAATAGTTTGAAACTTATGTAACATGCTTAACACCTATGCCATTTACAACAAGGTAAACAATCACGCATATCCATACTCAATTAACAGTTAAAAATAAATAATATATCACTCTTCGTATATCAAGGGATTACTCAAAAGAATAAATGCTTGCCTATATCACGTTGAATCAACAAATACTTAACAAAAAAACTTCAGTTAGATCTCGTAGGTAAACTTCTCTATAACCAATAAACTATACAGTGCATGTACTAACCTTCATACTGAATTTCTATTTTTGTTGTTAAACGTTAAAGTCGAACATTGAAAGCATGTAATTTTTCCTTATACATCGTAAAGAATACTGATAAAAGACGTAATTCACCTTTTTTCTAGTTTAAATTATAGTCTCTACAGTGATCAATGCATATCTGTTTACCTGACGAATATTGAATGAGTTGATGTAGACGAAGAGAATTCTTTCTCTCTCTCATGAAATGATTCTTTAATTGTTTTAAATTTATGAACTATCAAAATAAAAGAGCTCCGATAATTTTTTTAATAATACTCGGTTTGATACATTTTCAAAGTGCTATACATATATATATATATATATATATATATATATATATATATATATATATATATATATATATATATATATATAAGGCTGATGTGTGCATATTATTGCCCTAGAAATAAAAACTTAAAAATTCGAAATACTTTGTGTAATAAAACATTAGGATATAAATAATTTTGTTCACAGACACAATTATTTAGTTCATTTTTAATGTTGTTTGAACATATGTAAACAAAACGTTAAATGGAATTACAAAATATGTGTTATTTATAGATGGGAACAGATTAAGTTGAAAATTTAACCATGTTCACATAACGTTGATTTATTAGGGTGATTTCACAACAATCGAATTATCATACCTGAACCCAGAAATCTATACAAAGATGAATAATTGGTGGAATGCAACTGGAATAATATCCTTTAATTAAATATTTACACTTATTTCTTAAGCCAAACGTAAATGGATGATAAGAACTGATGAATGCCTACCATTCAGAAACTTAAAATTATACAAACTGAGGTCCACGGTCATAACATATGTATTAAAAGTAAGGTTAAATCGATTCTCACATACTTCTGTTTTGGGAAAGCTGTATCGTAAGGAGTGCCCGAAAACATCTGTTTGGTAAACCAAGCTTATTAAAATAGGCTTTTAGTTCCACCACATGATTAAGTGAAAGAAATACCCATATTAACATTAAATCATATTGAGACAGAAATATATGTCATCTTTGTAATAGATTGATTGGAAGAAGACTTCATATCCTAAACCATAGGATGTATTTAAAGGATGAATCGTACACAATTCCGCTTAAAAATATGCGTATGCCTTTTAATATACCTTTTGTCGACATCTCATTTCAGTCATAATTCATAAATTAAGATACGTTTATGCAGTAAATAATTTTATGATTCCCAGATTAATATATAAAAGTTTTGTTTATGATTTTTTTAACATTCGACAAACATTTTAGGTAATAGGCTGTTCACTAAAAATTTTTTGAACATTATCAAAACTTACGAGTAGTTGAGGGAAAAGAAGTCCGACCAGAATATTACACAACCAATTTGTACCCACAGCCACACTTTGTGCAGCATCTCTATATTCTTGAGTGAATAGTTCAGCCACAAGGAACCAAGGAACAGAGCCTGAAAATTTCATAAGATTATTATAACTGCAGAAACGCAAGGTATATTAAGTAAGTGATTCACTTACTTCAAAATGTGCATATTTGATAAATGCTAATTTTTACTTGTTATATGATTACAGACCACTAACTTCTGTTTATTAGCAATTTTAGATATCTCACACGTTTAGACTTACATTAATTTTTATAGATACGCTCATTCAAGTATTTTCCATATCTACTAATCAGCTGATGGTACTCTACGATTTTCAATAATTATTGATTGGCTATTAAAGGGTCTTCTTTACCTCACTTATATTAGTCTAAAAAACAACCGTAAACTGTTTTCAAGACCGTTTAAAGCACTATACATGAAATTTCTAATCACTTGGTAATAAACTTCCTTTTTCAATTGATTTTTGTGCTAAATAGCTGTAAACGTGATGAAACTGTGAGGTATGCTACTTATGTTTGCAGACATAAGTAGTATATAACATCGGTCAGAAAAGGAATGTCTGTCGAAAGAAAGTTAAGAAGATTGAAATAAAGAAAACAAAACGGGAAACATGAAGGAATTGAGGATTGGAAGAATCATGAAAGATGTGCAAATGAAGTATTTAATGTATGGTTTTCATAATTTACGAAGACACTGTAACTTCGCACTAAACAATAAATTGGCCTTCCTCACCTGAGTCTTCATTCACTACAGTACAACCGCCGTTGATAAAATCACAAAAAAGAAACTTGTTTTCACTGAACCGTCCTATTTATCGACAAAGTATATTCTTTCAGTAACAAATTCACCTATATAAAATTTATTTGAACCTGGATATCCAAATAATTGTTTAAGTGTCCTCGCACTTTTAAACATGCTTACAGATATTAACATTTTGATTTCCGTTGGAAAACAATAAAATTTTAATGATTAACTCCACTGTCCAGTAAACAGATATTTTGTAAACAAACTTCCAGTGTAAATTTAAACACTACTAACTTCAACAACTATTTGACTCTTTGTTTAATGGGGAACTAAGAATGTAACCGGAAAATATAATGAAGATCATAAATCATGAGGGGTGAAACCATAAGGATAAAATTAACAATCATTCGTTGTATACGAATAACAACGATCACGGACATCATGAGAAATAGTGAAATCCAGTGAATTTCCTACTTTAATCTACAAATGGGTGGATTTTATGGTGAGGCTCATTTTTTGTTTGATGGAACATTGGAAATATTAATGAAAACTTCGTCAATAATGCGCGTCCTGTAATGTCAACTATTCAAGTAGATACTTGTAAGAAAATGTTTTCCCTTTGATCCTGTTAACAACAATGAAACTAACGGATTTTTTCCTGTGTACTTTACATCATATTTTAAGTTTACGCTGAACAAGTACACTTTATTCCGGAACCATAAAAGATCATTGTTTGACCAGATTCTTTTCGCTTTATATTTACTTTAATTTGAATAAAAACGTTAGGCAAATATAATTGCATCCATTACCGCGTTGATTTTATTCAAAACAACATTTTTGTCATCTTGAAACATGTATTTTTCGGACACGTTTTTACCAGCGATGGCAGTTTTAAAGACCAGATAACTTTATTACTTAATTGTCTTCAGTTCTATACAAATATTTAGGGGTAGTTAGTAGATGACGTTATTTTTTATGAAATAATCCTAAATTTTTGATCAACAAACATCGTTTAAATTGCTGGTGTTTCCCAACCCACATACGTTGAAACTTACTTGGATGTCAAAATTTCGCAGTAGGTTTGCGAAAATTGGAATAAAATCTCAAAACAAGCACGCAATTTCACATTCGCTTGAACAATATTCTAAGTGCAGATAATGACCTTCATAGAAGAGTAGCAGATATTATAAGCAAACACAATTAGTAGTATTTGCATATGTTACCATGAAAAAGTTATGTATTTACGTACAAGCTGTACACAATATTGTTTATCGGTTTTTTTATATGTTACCCAGATAAGCTGCCTTAGCTTTTTGAGAGACGCACTTGATTAAAAGTCGGTTTTTACCAAATGATTAAATAACAGAAATATTTGTTTGCATACCTGGGCCAAAGGAGAATCCTGAAACAAATAGGTATAATACAAGAATAGAAATGTAGGTTAACCAAGATGCATGACTGAACTTCTGAATTGACAAAACTGTTGTAAATGTAATTAAGCTGACTAAGCATACTGAAAATCCAACGAGTAATAGCATCCGTCTGCCTCCTCTGTCAATAACACACACTGACACAATTGTGCCTAACACGATGACTGCTCCAACCCCAAGATTGACAAAACTGGCATCTCTGTTGGTTAGGCCAACACTTTCGAATAGCGGAACAGAGTAATACAAAACCTAAAGTTAAACAATATAAGAAGTCTAATATTAATTCGAGCAAAGAGGTTTTTGATAAATCTGAGTATTATCTTGAATCAAACTTTGCATGACATGAACCTGACTACTACCTTACTGAGCTTAATCCATTGACAAACATCGAGATGGCGAATGGTTTGAACAGTTATATATACCTTTATTGAGCTGAATGTTTAACAATTTGGGAGAGAAAGAGAGGTAATAGAGACAATATAACTTCTACTTATTCTGTTTTGTTTGACTGATTTCATCATGCTGTAATGTTTTAAAGTATAATCATAAAATGCGTTCAGAGCACTTACAAACATTTATTCAGTTAGAAGCTAATGTAATTAAATATCATTGCAATATAATGAGTAGTTGAATACAGCTCAGAGAGTGAGTAAAAAAGCTGAAAATGCATACCATACTCAAAAGAACGAAAAGTAGTACATTACCAACAAAAATGATAATTTATCGGATAGGATGCGACATATAAACAACCTTCTACTAATACAACTCCTTAGTTTATATGTATGTAAGTAATGATTTACAGATAAAATACATCTATATTTAATCACAAACGCACAACAGAATATTCGCCTGCTCGTAAGAAATAAGCATTTAGATTGAAATAAGTTTTTACAACTTCTACAACTACCCAAACGACTAAGCGATGTATAAGGTGGAATATAAATTCTAATTTTCCTGTTAACAGAGAAATGGAATATTTTCAGTCAATTAAATAACAAAAAATGATTGTTAAAATTAAAACGTTTCACACAAGCTTGTACGATGCAAGCCGACAAATAAACATAAAAGCATTAGAATAGCTATTGTATTGCATATCAGCCCTATTACCACAGCAAGTGGTAAAATCCACAGCCCACTTTGTTGACTTTGTAAGTAGTCCTTTTTTCACTAGACTGAGAAAAAATAAAATGTAAAACTATGCTTCTGTCTGATATCATTTGTTCACTTGTTTGCTATTAACAAATCTCGAGATTTCTGAAGAACAGTCTATTTTTATCACTTATCTAACGTATAAGCATTAACTGCGTTAAACAAAAATCTAGTCCCAGACAGGACGGCAGATTAACTTTGATAAGCTGTTAATACAAAAATAGTTTTAAGATGAAAGGCAACCAAAACGTGGAACAATCGGATGCCAATTATTTATAACAAAAAAGAAACCAATTTTTCATCATAAAGTTCTGTATATCTCGATTTAAACGACTTTGATGTTTTGTGTGTTACATAAATTTAATATTTATAAAAGAAAGTGGATGTGCTAAACTGAGTCTAAAACGTTTTGGTGGAAAGCCAAAAATGAGACCATTAAGTTAATGACCGGATTAATAACCCAAGCTGATTTATTTATGACCCGCTGAAATTTCAGGTTTTAAATATCACGGCTTCATAAAATGAACTTTGAGGCTCCTACAGTTTGTTAAACACATTTGTTTATGTAAGACAAAGTGTTGAAATATTTTACCCTCAAAAATTTACTTGATTAATTGAGTTGTGTATTATAATTTTACCCATCATATGACATCGCAATTTTTATTTAAACTTAACTAAACATTAAACCTTGATATCTTATTAGTTGTAATAAAAGCTGATAGTGACAATATTGAGACCGTGATGACTGAAAATATGACCTTTAAATATCACGTAGATTTGAAACTATACCAACGAATTTTAGAGATAATCGTTTGATTCGTTTGAGTAGAGGTAAACTTGGTTAATAAATACTTTCCTGTAAATAACCACTGATTGATACAATAAATTTTGATTTTTTTGTACTTCTAAGCGTCTTTATTTACTGATTATTGCAAACCAAAATGTACATATACATGCTTCCAATATTATAGAATTTAATTGAGAAACCATCCAAACGAATCTACGCTCTATACACTTAGTCTAGTCGCAAAACTGTCCATATAAAATGATTTTTTTAATTGATGACAAATCTTGAACAAATAGGGAAAGAAATAGCTAGCTGGGTGTGGCGTTTGTATGAAGTAATAATTATTTTGTACTCGGTTTCTATCTGATGTTGAATTTTAAATACAATACGTTCGTTTGTGCTCACACAGTTCTGTGTGGTTTAAATCGCTCTGACTCTTAGATTCCTGGTTTGTCTAAAAATTTAAATACTTCTGATTATCACACTGGATTATGTAACTTGAGAGTAAATAGCTAGTACCTAAGCTATTCTGATAGTAATGTCCGTTAAAATATGTTATTAACACTTTCAAGTTAAGTCGCTTATTATTATTTAGGATAAATTTAAACTATATATCATAGTTGTAAAAGTAATCAATCAGTAACTTACACCATTGATTCCTGAAAGTTGCTGCCCGAAATGTGGGATAAGGGCAACAAATAAGCCCCATCGGAGATGTTGAACTCGAAATAAGTTACCCATTCCAAAGTTATGTTTACAGTTATATTCCAGGTCTCGTTGAAATGATTCAAGCTCCATAAAAACATCGTAGTCCTTACCTCTTAGAAACAAAAGAGCTACAGTGTTTAAAGAACTTAAATAACGAAAACGTACCATGTTTTGCAGCATCTTTGTCTCCCTTTACTAAATACAAGTAGCTAGGACTTTCAGGACAAAACGTCATAAGTATCACATGAAAAAGACAAACAGGAGCACAAAGACCTGAAACCGGATCATAAAAATCATATTATTACCCAACAAGAATGGCCAGAATTTATCCGTCCCCATTACTTGCGACAGACCTAGAACCTGGGATAAAAGAATGGCCAGCACTGTAACAAATTGATTCATAACCCCTGCCACACCACGAGACTTTATTGGAGCAATCTCTGAAAGGTATGTAGGTGTTACAACTGTATAAGCACCTAAAAAAGCCATTCGAATATATTTTAAAACGGATACCTGCAGACAGACCAACTATAAATCTCCCGAATATGATAGCCTCGAACGATCTCAAGCTCACCGAAACCATGATGAGTAAAGATCCTAAAATTGTTGGGATGGAAAGAAGAAACAATGTTTTTCTTCTAGATTTTAAAGTTATTTAAGTTTAAAGACATACCGACCGAACCTATTAGCTAAAACTCCACCAAACAGGCCCCCAAATAACCCACCGATAACAAATCCCGTCACACATATTGATAAAATCACTCTCACACATGAAGAGCCACATGTGTATCGTCTTTCATCAATAATTTTCTGAGTAAAATTTTGGATGAGCTTTGGAAATATTCTCATCATATTTTGAATGCCTACCGATAATGGTGCGTTGATAACTCCCGTATGATATCCGAATACGAAAGAACTCCCAATAGTTATGGAAACGTAAGTAAAGTATAAGCGCCAAGGAGGCATGAAGAGCAGAAACTCGTAACACTTTTGAAAGTGTCATTTTTAGGATCCATTTAATGTCCAATATGTTTGGCATCAATTCATTAACATCATCAGTTTATTTCGTTCTTTCAACCTTCATCATTAAATAAAAGAAAAAGGCTTCCTAAAAGGCTTGAGCAGGTTTGAACACAATATGTTGTATTGGACTAACTGAGTGATTCATCTCCTAGCGAAACGAACTTGTAAACGTACTAAATTGGCACCAAGTGTTTGTTTGTCATAAAACATTTCTCTGTTCATGGTTGGTAGGTCCGCGTAATATTGTCGGCACTCTAAATAGTGCAGATCGAGCCTCTACCATATTCGGTTTCTGCATTTGCGATAGAGTAATTTTCTTTCCTCTTGTAATTTTTGGGTCATCCCCATCACCGACTTACTGACTTGAAAACGAAGAATACACGATCGAATAGTTGTCGTCAGAATTTTTACTTTCGTGTCCAACGCAGTAATGTGAATATTTAAACTAATGCTCAAAATTGTCACAAATTGGAAGTTCACATCAAACTCGAGAACAATCTAGCAGGGGAACTTCCCACATATATATCGTATTATCGAAAACACCAGTAGCAGTATATTAATGCCAATTTCTCCAAAAAAAGCCTAATAAGTCGTGAAAGTAAAGTGAGCAACCCGTGCTACGTTGTCCTCTTTCTCGCTTGTTCCTGAAGTGATTGAACGTTTCCTCAAACTTAATAGTTACACTGTACAACGGAAAGATACTCTTCCTGACGAAGAATACGTTACTCCCAATAGTGTAGTAAAATTACTTCAGCGAAATCCTATCGCTAACACTACAAGAAGACTTCCGACTTAGAATTTCTCTCCCTCGATATGCGTTTTTGGCATCTTCAAACGTTTTTTATATTTCGTCGAACTTATGGGGAAATTCGACGACTTTGCCGACACACCTGCAGAAGTTGGTGTATTCATTTCAGCCTCAATCGCTCGTTGGAGTGATACAGCGCTTAGTCTGTTAGTGATAGGTAGTAAAATTGTCGCTGTAGAAAGAAGAATACATTTTATGTCGGCTGGTGTTTACATCTTTGGCACGAAAATGGCTTTGCCTGAAAATGGAAACACTTATGAGCGAAATTAATCGGCCTACAGCACAAGTACGATGAATCATTTATTTGCTTAGTATTGCTTTCCGGTTGTAGTTCATGACCACAAAGAATCGATTATGCGTTTGAAGCGTACTTTTAACAAGTAATTCTCAGGTATCAATAACCCTACCAAACGATGACAAAGTTGCTAAGCTTGACATACAATGTCATAAAACATTGTCTCTACGGGACAACCAGTGTTTTCAAAATCACGCAGAGCAACTCCAGAAAAGACTAGCAATGATTATGAACGGATATGGCGTTTTTGGTCTAGAAAAAGCCTATCCTTCATAAACTCAATCGTGCTCTTTTATCCACTATTCCGAGGATCAATAGTGACGATTCTAATCGTACTGGCGGTTATAAGCGAACTGTTGTAAAGCTCACCTCAAACCATTACCCTCTGTTCTATATGCTAGTTTGAGAATTATGGTTTGTCACTTTATGACTGATCCAGTTTAGAGGCCTGTTGTGTTCGCTTGTGGTGGCGGGCTCATCATTTTAGTGGCCCGTGATCTGACTCCAATTTGATCGTAATGATTGGTTGCTATCGTCTATCCTCGTATATAATCATTGACTTAAATCGCGTTAGTTAATAACGGAATTAAATAAGTCAAATAACGAGAATGGAGTTTTGAATGCATATATTTCGTATAATTGTTGATTAGACGAACAAACGGAGGAACGATGCGAAGATGAGAAAGCGAAGCAAAATTGACGAGCGGTGGAGATGGCTGGTAAGCCAACTCCCCGCTTAACAAAGAGTTAATCAATATTTATAAGCCCACAAAAATAAATTACAGACATGTGATGAGTAACGGGATAAGAAGTGTGCATACGCCTACGCGCTCATATAAAGCAGTCAAGATATTGATAAGCGAATAATTAACAAGGTCAGAATGTGACTCAAATAGAATGAATAGAATGGGCTGTCCGGAAGTTAAAATAATAAGGTATTTGGGCTTAACATAATGACAGACACTACACCAGTAACGTCTTACGATCATCTCTCTCTAGCTCATAAATCACTGCAGATTCTACACTGTGCTCTTTCAAACTCACAAGGTTTGGGATTGTTAATGTGCAAGAAAAGACCGCGTTCTTACTTTGCGTACTTCAAATCACATTCCTGAACACGACAAAACGCGCCTAGCACTCTAACTAATTTTTGGAAAACTTTGAAATGGAGAGATGTATTTGAGCGTCTGAAGGATATGACTTAAAATCGACTGACTAGATTATATCAGGCCTTACAATAAAATTTGAGATATCCTGTCAGAGCAAGATATATCTGAACTTGCACATGGCCTAACCGGCAACTGCCATCATGTTATGCTCAAATGTATGTTATAATTTGGCGAACTATATCTCTGTGAAGAACTATCGTAAATTAAACAATTTCTTCACACTCGACCCAAGGTAAAGCTGCGTAAAACCGTTGTCTGATATCGGATCATTAAAGCTAGATATATTGAGTAAAATCCTCACAGTTTATATAATTATTCGTTTGAGATTTCAAGATATCTCACTACGATGTGACCTGTTGCCTGCTATGAAATCGCGTGAATTTGTATATCACGAACTTGTTGAGCAGCAAAATCATATTCCTGGTCAGGAGGTCTGAAATGCCAACAACTCAGGGGAAATATGCCACAACGAGGAACTAGATCTGTAGAATTATGATCTGCTATGATATTAGTACTGCTCCAATAATAGATCTAATCCTGAAATTGCAGATTTGTCATGATACAACTACCTAATCTATAAGATTTTACGTGGAAGTCACATCATTGTCCATACCGACTCATCGTATGGTAACAAATACCAATATATGATGGGGAACACATTCAGTCTGGATAGTGAACAATACATTTGATATGAATGAAGGCACATTGGGCAGAGTGAGCACGCCTGCGAGGCTGAGCCATGCCATCCGATCAATTTGAATCCATTCCATTCCTTCTTCCCCCCTTTTCCATTATCGTGTTTTTCCCCGAGTTAAGTGTTGAACATCTGTTTCCTCAAGTGTCTCGTTTTCAGCATTGAGGATTGTGTGATTAGGACCCAACTCTACTAAATTACACTTCCACCAGAATCAGTGTGATGATGGTTCGATACCGAATTGAGTGAGATTGCTGCGCGCCGGAGGTTATCAAGAATGATAAGAATCCTCCGGGTATTCTAGGGTGAAAGATAAATCGAAAAGAAAGGCGACAACAACTGATCGAGAAATACATGTAATAACTTCAAAATATCTGCCTCCATGCTTATGACGCTTAAAATGAAAACCCACATGAACAATACTTATGCGTTAAGTATGGTGGGATTATTACAATGAAGAACGATTTAGTAAAGCGATGATTTAACGGGTCACATTAAAATGTATAGTAATACCATTTGATTAATGGCTCAAGTTGCAGGCCATATAAGTTATTTTTAAAATATTTGGCTTTAGAAATGTACGTAAAGATTATACAGATGAAAAAAGTGGGACTAGAAAAATTAAGAATGATTTTTCGTATAAATATTTCAATTAATCGCCGTAAGATGCGTACTATTAGCAGTACGTTAATAAAATTTCGTGTTTAGAAATATTAAAAACAATCGATATTGTAGAAATGTTAATATTGGTATTAGTTTTGGTTTAAATTATTAAGCCAAATAACGTTTATGTTGGTAACCTGTTCATATGAGTTGATTTTCAATTACATCGGTATTAGTAGGCTGACTGAAAGAACAAATGTATTACCGTGGAGAATTTCAACTGGTGTTTCACTTAGTTTAATGCAGTTTATTTAGCTACGGGAGGATTTGATCGACCTCATTTTTACTTGACCGTAATAGAATTTAGTAATTCTACTAATACATATGAATGGTTATCAAAACAAATTTTTAGTACGTTAAAAGTGATAATTATGTGAACTTTGGACAAATACGTGAGAGAAATTAGTTAGACATGAATGTATTCGTAAGAGAGGTGCTCTAGAATCAATGTTCTGATTTATCATAGACTGTTTACCTAAATTCATACCAACCAGCTGGTGGTGCATACAAGTTAGTTGAAAGTATGCAGTTTAGCATAAGGCGTAATACGATTTAATCGAGATATGGTGATTATAAGTTATTGAAATTGACTAAGCTTGTGTGACACAATTATATATAATATGGTTCTGCAAGATATCTTTGGCTAAATAAGTCTTTACAAGATGATTAACAGTGAGTGATGCTCATGTGATTATCAGAGGGAACATAAGTTGTAACCAAGAGGAGTACACTCATAACTCATGTCTATGATAATGGCTTGAACTTTGGTCAGCATCGAGGTAAATTCGACAGTACTTTCAGTTTGCAGGAGATTTGCTCGATTGCTTATACTGATGATCCGTATGTATGATTTTGTCGCTAAACATTCACTTAGACTGCGAGGGTTTTGAGGTATTTACTGAATGAAAAACTGATAGAAAATCATACTGAAATCATCTGTAATGGATGGAGATAGCGAGAAAACAACTATTTAATGATAATTATAAGCCAATCTGTTGACCGATTTTTTTAACAATTTCATCAGTCTTATCGATCATATTACGTGATTATCAAGTCATATGTATAATGTATGATATATTTCTGCAAGAGCAGATACGCGCCATTTTTACAGGCATGATCTCCGGTAGTTGGCAACCGCTTGAATTTTACTCACGACGCCTTACTCCCATGGAGACGAGATATAGCGCTTTTGGTCGCGAACTGCTAGCAGCCTACTGTGCCATCAAACATTTCCGGCATGCAGTAGAAGGACGCCAATTCATCTTATTCACCGACCATAAGCCCTTAACGTATGCCCTGCATACCAAGGCTGACCGCTACTCACCACGAGAGTGCAGACATTTGGACTA